ATATTTTTCACAACAATCCCAATACTCCATATTTTTCCCTGCAATCCCAATGCTTCCTACTTTTCACTGTGATCCCAATACTCCATATTTTCCAACACAATTCCAATACTCCATATTTTTCACCGCAACCCAACATTCCATATTTTTCACTGTGATATATATGTATATAAATATAAATATATAAATAAATATATAAATAAATATATATTTTTTTTCCCTGCAATCCGACCACTCCCTATTTTCCACCACAATCCCAATACTTCCTACGTTTCACTGCAATCCCAACACCTCACATTTTTCACTGCAATCCCAAAACTCCATATTTTTCACCACAATCCCAATGCTCCACATTTTTCACTGCAATCCCAATACTCCATATTTTTCCCCACCATCCCAATACTCCATATTTTCCCTGCAATCCCAATGCTCCACATTTTTCACTCCAATCCCAATGCTCCACATTTTTCACTCCAATCCCAATGCTCCACATTTTTCACTCCAATCCCAATGCTCCACATTTTTCACCACAACCCAACATTCCATATTTTCCACTGTGAGATACACGTATATAAACCCGGGCCGGGGCCTCTCCACTCTCCCAGCCAGGAATTCCTTCCTTAAAACCTGGGAATTCTGTCCCTACCGGAAGATTTCTCTGCAGACCATCGATAGGCAACAGGGGGGCGAAAACATCACTTCCTATTTATTTCACGTGGTAACACCTGAAATATTGGGCTGGAAAACAGCTTCAGATAAAAATATTGTGCATTGCCCAAAACTTCCCACATGGAATATCAGAGTGGAAAACAAGACAAATCCAAGCAAGCCCCGTTTGCTGTGGAAAAGTGATGAGTGGGGTTGGAAAGCTGGAAATGGTGTGAAAGCAACTCAGAGCTGGAGAGGATTTGGTTTCCAAAAGGATTTAGACAGGCTGGGAGAGCTGGGGGGGTTCCCACCGGGAGAAGAGAAGGATCCAGGGAGAGCTGAGAGCCCCTTGCAGGGCCTAAAAGAACCTGGTTGAGTTTGCAGCCAGAAATAAAACCAGGATTAGGGGAGGGATTAAGGACCTGTGAAGCCAAGGCTGAGGAAATCGTGGCAATGGAGCAACAATGAGCTGAGGTGATTTCCAAAGGGAAGCAAAGAGAGCTGGAAATCAGGGAATATTTAAAACTGGGCAGAGGGCAGGGATAGATGGGATATTGGGAAGGAATTCTTGGCTGGGAGGGTGGGGAGGCCCTGGAATAGAATTCCCAGAGAAGCTGTGGCTGCCCCTGGATCCCTGGAAGTGTCCAAGGCCAGGTTGGAGCAACCTGGGCTGGTGGAAGGTGTCCCTGCCCATGGTAGGGATGGAATGGGATGATCTTTAAGATCCCTTCCAACCCCAACCCTTCTGGGATTCCATGATTTCTTCACATCCTTTACATCTTCTCTATTAAATCCAGACAGACTTTCCACAGGATTTCAAGTCCCAGAATTGCTGGTGAAGGAATTCCTGGCTGGACAATCCTCAGAGCCACAGCTTTCCAGCCCTGGGATGGGGGAATATCCATTCTATGGGTATTCCCATTAATGGGAATCCATCAAGGGCTGGAGCTGGGCTGGGAGAGCTGGGGGGGTTCCCCTGGAGAAGAGAAGGCTCCAGGGAGAGCTGAGAGCCCCTTGCAGGGCCTAAAGGGGCTCCAGGAGAGCTGGAGAGGGACTGGGGACAAGGCATGGAGGGACAGGACACAGGGAATGGCTTCCCACTGCCAGAAGGACAACTGGTGTCCTCCTGATCCCACACACCCCCTCACTCTCGAGCAGCCTGG